GAAAGCCGCTTTTAAATCGAGGAAAATAAAAATGGTGGGTCTACGAAAGGAGTGTCTATGTTTGGGCTGGTCAGTTTTCCGGAACCCATCTCCAAGATCAATCCTTAATTTGAAACAAGCCTTTCCTGAGATTAATTTCAAAAGAAAAGACCATATGGCAATACTGTACGATTCATGTCCAGGACGATTTCGCTGCATCTCAACATGGTGCATACTGCAGAAAATACAACGTTTACATAGGGCTTTAGCATAGAAACAAAGTAAAGCAAAATACATTAAAAACAGACAAAACATAAAAGAGGGAGAGGTAATAGGATTAATATCACCAGGGTAGGGAGAGACTAATATAAAGTTCTTTTTGCTGACACTTGGGGGGGGGGCTTCAATCGATTAATCGCAATCGCTTCGGCAAACCTTAGCAATCTTGCGACTTGTGACTCGTAGACAATTCGAGACGCTGTGCCTTGGTCGACCTGGGGTTGCGTCATCAGCAGATGTCGAGCAATTACTGAGGACGGAGTCTTGTAGGTTCGACCGTCGTTTCTATGCGGCGGACTTGACCCCAATTGGGTCAGCTGATTTTGGACCCAATTCGGGATATGTTTCGCCACCCGATTGCGTAATTGTCGCTCTGTTTGGCCCGCGTAGGTTGCTCCGCAACCACATTGGAATTGGTAGATTAGATTAGAGTTGGCGCACAGAGGCAGACGTTCTTTTGCCGGGTGTGTGGGTATCCTGGTTGTTCGGTAGACGATTTGGGGGTCGGCTGCGTAGTAGGTTCGAGCGATTGCTGACCTCAGTCGTTTGTAGAGCAGGTGGCTTACGTCATCACCTTTGAATTGAAGGTATAATGTGACCCGCAATTTGGGAGCTGACGCAATCGGTTCTTTCGCAATTTTCGGTTTACTATGCTTATTAACGCTTTGAGGTAAGCGCTTTTTGCTAAAAGCTTCCGGAGGTTTTGCAGTTATTGTTCAATTCTGTCTTCCGTGCAGAATCGCCCCGTTCTGTCAAATAAGGTCCGAACAAGACCACATTTATATTCTGGGGACATAAAGCTCTCGTAGTGTAAATACTGGCCTGTCCAAATTTCCTTTCGATAAACGGATCGATCAATCGTTCCGTTTTCTCTTCTGGTCATAGTAATGTCAAGGAAGTTGGGTGTGTTGTTGGATTCATATTCCATTGTGAAATGTATATTTGGATGTAGTCTGATGAGTTCATCCATAATTTTTGTAGCTTCTTCTAAGCTTTCTGTTATAACCAGGATGTCGTTGACGTATCTTTTGTACAGGATAGCGCGCCCCAGAATATTAGTTCCTTTTCCTTCCAAATGTGCCATGAACAAGTCTGCCAGGACTGGGACTAGCGGACTGCCCATAGCGACACCATCGATTTGCCTGTACGCATTCCCTTGAAAAGAGAAAGACACGTCGGTTGTGCAGAGCAGTAGTAGACGCTCAAGAACGGACACCGGTAGACACAGTCGAATATTTTCTTTCTTTGCATGATCGTAGATGATTTGTATGACTTCACGAACTGGTACATTAGTGAACAGGGATTGAACATCGAAGGAAGCCATGTGTTTTCCTTCTTTGTTGATCTTGTTCAAAATATCCACCAATTCAAAACTGTCCTTGACTGTATGCTTGACCATTGATCTACGAACTGGTTCTAACACCTTAACCAGCCATTTCGCCATTTTGTGCTGTGCTGAGTTCGTCATGGATAGAATTGGTGGAGTGGCACACCTGGCTTGTGGAGTTTCAGTAGGCCATAAAGTTGGGGAATCTGAGTTCCTCTCGGCTTCAAGTCTCGCGCGGTGTTCGACTCGATGAAATGTCCTTCCAATAGAAACTGAACTTCAGAGGCAATTTTCCGTTCCAGCTCTTTGCGGTCATCATCACATGCTTTTTCTCGTAAGAACTTGCTGGGGTCATTGAGGATATATTCCATCTTTCGTTGGTAATCTGCACGGTTCATCAGGATAGCCCCAGAACCTTTGTCAGGGTTTAAAATGACCAAATCGGACTTATCTTTTAATTCTTTTAAAGCGGATAAATGCTCGGGAGTGAGAAGTGACTTTTGTCTCGATGGTGTTATTCGGTATTGACGCTCCAAGTCAATCAGTTTCGCTTTTATCCCCGACTCTGCATCTTTTGAGGTTGTTTTCAGCATTCTCAGTTGTTCGAAAAATATTCAAACTGTGCCTGCGAGTCAATGCTGTTGATTTTCTTAGGCGCAACACAAAGGCGAACGCCACACGAAAATGCTAGGAGTTGAAGCTGATTTAGCTCGACAGGTGACAGATTCTTAACAAATTTCGCCGGTTCTTTTGGGAATGAATTATTGGCTAGTTTGTGCAATCTTGTTTTCCGAACAGCATTAGCGCAGAAGTTGGTATACTTGATTCGACAGAATAGATTCAATTCGTCCAAAATTACCGCTTGGTCAGTGAAAGTGGATTGTAGTGCAACCAGTCTTTCTTTGGCATCATCAATGTGACAACGTCCTACAGCGTAAATTTCTACGAGAAGCGCCAATATTATTGGACCCCAAACGCTTATAAAATGAAACGGGATAAATGTTGCATGCCACACATTGCTCGAGGAAACCGATACGGACTCGAATCACTATAATCTTGCATCGGTCGAGAGACCGAACAGTCGTTTTTGGGAGACGAGATTTGAGAAAACTGAAACAAGCCTTTTCCGAGATTAATTTCAAAAGAAAAGACCATATGGCAATACTGCACGATTTATGTCCAGGACGATTGCGTTCCATCTCAACATGGTGCATACTGCAGTCAATCATTTATTCGAGAAGCAAAAGAGTCAAGTTGCGCTCTCAATAACGCGTGAATATACCCCACTAATGGGCTCTAGTAAAAGCAAAACGTTGGTCTGTTGCTTCATAAGTGCATAAACTGAGGATTGTACGTGAAGATGAAGCCTAAAGTATGATTCGTCCGAACCAATTTAACTTATCTCACACCACCACTCACAAGTAACTGTGAGTTAAATGTGAACAAAATTGTCTTGTTGCTAATAAAATACCATGTTCAGGAAAAAACCCACCTCAGAAGAATAATTTATGATATCCAGATGTTCATTACAAAATATAGGTTTTCTTCTGCAACGTTGCGCAGCATGGCCACTCAGGTTTGCGCTGATTGGTTTACATGTGACTGAACCCAGTTGAGACAGTTCCAACAGACCACTCTCATATTACCTGAATCCATTGGTTAGCGAGTTATTATCGAACATATTTAATCCATGCGTCAAACATGTTGTCTTTATTTGTCTCACTTTTCGGCAGCGTCGCTCATTTTCAAAATGGACAAAATATTCCTGTCGGTAGCAAATCTATCCTACCAACTGGAAATGAGTTAACTAACTACTGAAAATAAATGAGTAGGCAAACCTGAAGTTTCTCAATACAACATATGGTATGCTGGTCTGAAATCTGATTCCGGGTATGCCAAGCGAGATGTTGATCCGAAAGCTAGTTACGGAGTTACATATGAATTTATCTGTACACCGGAGGTGAATTAGATGCAAAGATAAGGCTTTTCTTTCTCTCAGCGGAATCAAATATCACCAAATAATGCACATATTTGCGCCTTACCCGTTTGGGAGCTTTTCAACGGGTTGCAGGCACAGAGACGGACAACCTCTCGCATATTTATTGAAACAGGGCGTTTTAAGTTCATCCGACTGCTTACGAGTTGTGGAACGTTGAGTTGCAACGAGATACAGACTTCACCTCTGATAGAAACAGTTTTGGATGGAAATCGGGTAAATTATTGTGCAATTAATAAGCAGTGCATTTGTGGTGATGCCATTCAAAGTGATGTAACAGAGAATTTATAAATTCAGCTGATGATGTATTCTACAGCTATTTTAGCGTAAGCTCGTCTACTGAGTGACATGAGGACCCGTTGGAACTTCTACTCGAACATAAAGTGGGGATTTCAAATACGAGGCAAGGCTGACTGGCGTGCAGTATATAGTTTTCCCGGTCGCCCACGGATTAGCAACCATATTTACATATATTATTCAAACAGAGTATCATGCATCCCAGTATCACTTATTTTTTCACGTATACTGTACTATACTGATTTCAGCTAAAGTAGCCGAGTGATAGCTTTTTAGTACTAAAAAACACCAGGTGAACCTCTTACATTGTTATTATGTAGTTTATTTTGACCGGTAGAATGGGACTCCAGTCTCGATAAGAACTGCCAGATAATGAGCGGTTATCGAAGCGGAATATGTTTTCTGATCGAATTTTTATTTCCAAAATAAGTCAAAATACCAATTTATAATAAATTACTTAGGCTGAACAAAACCTACAAGGACTTCAAGGAAACTTCATCAGGTAAATGTTTGAACAAACCTCATCTGATATTTTCTCCCATTGTCATTTGCAGACGTCTCCAACGTCTTGTACCACATTTTCAAGCTGCCATACATTGCAACACAAGTCTGCTTGGGTATAGTTTGAACTTATCTCTAAAACATAGTAGCCTTTTTACATGCTTGCTATAGGGAAACAAAACTTCACTTAGCAAAAGCAAATCATCCATTATTCAAATTACTATGTGTTGCCAGGGTAACGTTATTGTTTCGTCGCGGGATATTAGCAACGTGGGCAAATCATTATCAAACAAATTGATATATCCAGAATATCTAGGTCGTTAAGAGCTGGTTGCTTATCAAGTCGTTGCGAAAAGTTGTAGAGTAGTTCTAGTTCAATCATGGACCTCTGAAGCCGCTGTCTGGAAGTCCGGATTTATCAAGCCGCGTTCATTCCCTAACTCTCTTATGCTACTTCACAGCAATCATGTATACCTTGCATTTGATTGCGGTCGATCTGATCCGTATTTGGAGTAAATTTTAAACAGGCACTTTGATCACATTCAAAAGATCTGCGCTGCAAAAGTGTATCCGGTAGCTGGTCAGAATAAAACAAAATGATTGTTTATCGGAAAACAAGCAGACAAACAACATATGCATGCATACATATCACATATATACTCACGTACGTACATACATACATATACATCCCTTCCAGACAGAGACAGAATTGAAAAACTGAATAATTTTCAAGAGGTTTCAAGAGTGGATTGCTGCATCTTCAAAACAGTTAGAGCTATTTCGATTGTGTTTCTTATATCTGACACTCAAAATATGTGACAAATATGAAAATGGTTTTAACTTAAATCCTCTATATATACTTACCGAATTAGGTAGTACAATCCTTTGAATGGAGAGCCTTGATGGACAATCGCACTCCCGAGCGGATAAGTTTCCGTTTCCAATCCAAATGCTATTTGTTCCTTCGTCCGGGGAGTCAATTGCGAGAAATAAGGCAAGTGATTGATGAATGTGATACGAAACTGAAACTGCTCTTGAATTACAGTTCGAACGGTCTTGTCATAGAGAGTTCGGGAGATGACCACTAACTGAACGCAGTCTTCCGCGTGATTTTCCCTATCTTCATCATCATTATCATTATCATCATCATCGCAATTATCCACATCACTGGTTGTTGTTAGTTGCTTGAATACTAAGGGATCTGCTTTGGATTCATTGCTCGAGTCCGTCGAATAGTGAGTACGAGGACGACGACTACACATCTCCCCGTTGTTGTCATCGTTTGATGGCAACGCGACTATACTTGCTGTGCGACGACACGCTTCAATGAGAGCTACTTCTCCAAAAATCGCGCCACTTGCTGAAAAAGTCAAAAGATCCAAATTGATTACTTAGTAGAACTGATGCAGTCCATATTGGAAAAGAAAATTACCCTATCAAATGCTGTGAATGATCGTAAGCGCTATCACAAATCTGTCACTTCAGCACGAAACAACTAGTCATTCAGAATGGATCCTAATACTCGTAATCTGATTTAATGGTACAGTACCGTTCAGTCGGGACATAGACTTTATTTGAGAATTTTACAGTGACGATCTCCCTTGAACATAAATGAAGTAATATAACGGATATGTTCTCTCTCTGTGTTTTGTTTTTCGTGTCCGATATCGGACGTCAGCTAAGGACTTGAGGAATTTGATATTATCAGAAGAGTTGATATTTTCTGCAGTGGAGGTTGTGGAATGGTCACTTTTGTTGACTGAATTTGATGCAAAATAACTCAGTGAACATTTCAACCTGCAAAAATAATTATTCTCTTGTTTGCTACGATCCCTCTGTCCATCTCCATAGGCTTCATTATAATTTGTAAATGTCTACAATGCCCCATGATAAATCCACTCTCGATGTCACATTGCTTGAGGACACTCTGTACTTGGCATATCTCTGACTTATCCCGTATAAATTTTATCCCAGATTTACTTTCAGTTCGGTAACGTATATGTTAATGACCCCGAGTTGTTTCATATTCTCAGGCGACCGCTGTCGGTACATTGGATATCTGTGTGCTCTCTTTACTCTAGGATCTATTCCAGAATTAATCATTCCCGGCCAGCCTCTGTGTTCACAGTTTCGTGTGGTAAACACCTTAGTGATTATCTCAATTTCTTTTGTGATAAGTGTTGCCGAGATGAAATTATTTATATTTAAATTGATGTGGTTTCGTCTCGATTCTTTAAGCGACTCATCCGTACTACAGAAGTGGTTTGCGTGAATGGCGGGTGCAACAGTTTAAATATATATTTGTTCTGAACGGAATCGAAGCAATAAGCCCAAACAGTGTGTCCAGCTAGACTGTTTTGAGTCGCACCACCAATCGCGAGATGCGATCTCACCTGCAGCAACTCTCTGAATAGTGCGTTCATTCATATCCCAACGTTGAGGAGCTTAGCCGTCAATTCGCTTCCCCGAACGAGGCTCTTCAATTCTTCAAAGAACCGAAGTCACACAAGGAATATTGTCCCGATTCACAACCATGCTCATGGTGAGAAGCATCTAGCGAGCAGCTTGCAACCTTTATTACTGAATCGTTCTACATGTTTGTCATACGAAAAAAGTCGGGATTCGTCCTACTAGACCGCAAACACGCACTTTGAAAAAACGCAATGTGGGGAACAAAACTTGTTTGCAACGATTCATTTTCCCCAGCTGTTGGATGTTATATGTCTATATATGTCTAAAGTAGAAGACGGTGATGAATGAACATTCAAAAGGAACTAAAATTGGGAAGTGGACATTATGTTTTGTTTCCAGTTTTCCGTCTATACTTGTGTAATTCACCTTGCTATGCGCCGGCTCAATGACTGGGAACCATATTGGCAACGATTAAAAGTGAACCGACCAAGCATAGATTGCCGACATTGTTTTATCTAGTGGACCCTATTTAGAATATAAATGTATCAGGGCTACGAATACCGTCCCATGATGTAGCTTCACCACTTACTAACGGTCTCATCAACGGAACAATCGAGCACCTAGCGGATTACACTCAAAGTAATGATATTAGTCTCGGCATAATGACGGAGTATTTTGAACAATTCCGTAAGTTTTGCTCGCACTAGACGCAGTTCACAATCAGTTTCATTGTTCATCATCATAAGCATGCCAAGGTGATAGGCTCTCCAGCAGGTTTGTTTGTTTTGGATGCTTTTGCGGTAACACTTAATGTTTCCACTCAATAATTTCAGCTAGGGAAAAGATGTGATAGTGGTCTAATGTGTTTTGTGAACGAGAATAGTGCACTCAACTCACTATTAGCATCATTCAGTTGTGCGCATTCGAATAGCAAGTTATCCCTATAGTTGGGAACCGGAAACCAGATGGCCCGTCTTGCAGTTAACCTAAAACGTCCAGAGAATGAGTTTATCAAAAGCTCGGTTAACAGAAAAACAATATGATCGGGAAATGCATTCAGTACCAACACCTCCTACCGATCCAATTCAAGCAAAACAATTAAAGAGAGTCAAACTTGATAAACCGGGTTTTCCAGTAAAATGGATTGATATATCGGTAGTCTATTGAACTGGCAGATAAGCGGGGAGAGGGAGTTATTGAAATAGGAAATAAGTAAGTTTACACAAGACTGCTGTTTTCAGGTGATATTTGCCGGGATTAGTTTTACTCGAGCGTTGACAACTACGGTTATTCAAAAATTCCGTGCAAGCTGATTATAAGGCTGTAACTCAAATGAAGGGTTCTCATTTTGTAATTAGTCTTTCGCTTATTCCCAACATTGGTGGCTCCTATCGCCCTCTGCCACTTTATCGTCACTTGAGTTTCCCAATTTTTATCATATTCCGAATAGATATCAAACCAGAAACAAAAGATACCAACCGTCCTTCAACTTTATTTCATTTTGTATACGTGATTGCTACCCTCCTCTACCCTATTACACAAAATATGACGTTGAATCCTTGAGAAGCATTTTCTTTTGGGGTACATTGTTTTTTCGAGACCCCTGATTGTTGGCCACCAGAACAGAAAAGAACAATTCCCAAGGCATGTCTGTCAGAGTACCATTTCATTGATGGCAAATCTTTGTGACTGAAATGGTTTCAGGGAGCCATTCCGTCCCCATTTTCTTGAGCTTAGTACATGTAGAATCTTTCCATACCCGCAGCTTTATTGCTTGTAACTATCCGGATCGTGTGATCAATGTGTACTCATTCCATAATCCAAACGGCTTCGACCTCCTCCAAGAGAACTCTGAAAAACATGCTGCTCGACTTTTTCTCAAATGCTTTGATATTCCCTTCATTTTGAAACTTAGCCACCATTATCTTCCTTCATCATGTAGTCTGCCCAATCCTGTTTTCGTTAGTTAAAGCGTTTTCAAATCTGTTGTTCACGAACAATAGAGTGCTCGATGTCTTGTACGCTGGTGCTTCAGCTATATATCACCCCTTAAATCCTGTGAGATTAATAAATGATTGTCGTTTAATAAGCTGAAATCGATTGCCTAATTGATTCATCTCCCTTCCCATGGACCTAAGTGGTGATGGAGTTAATAACTGCTTCCTTCTCATTCAACCCGTAGTAGGATTAAAACTCCGAAATGCGTGAGACAACTGCTGATAGTAAACTCGTATTGCCCGTGCACTCAAGACAAACATGTATTGATCTTCCCGAGAAATTTAACGTTCGATGTGCATCAGGCTGATTCGTGGTCGGTGCTGACAAGTGCATGTAATACAACGAGCCGTGAATGGCCCACAAGAAAATCCACTTGTGATAACTCATCAATTACCAAGTTCATCCAGAGCACTCCTTTTAATTGCAATCGTTGTTAATTCGTCGTAAATAGATTTTGTTCTGTTCTCGCCATCCCCCCAGCTTGTGGTCCATCTGCTGATGAAAAAATTCGGTTTTAGGCGAATTTCAAAAAGTTTATTTATTTTTTAAAAAGTAATACTTCATGCCTCGTCCATTCATAAACAAATTGAATCCCTTCGATACTTGTGTGGTAGTGAAAAGTGGAGATCTATCATGAACCCATCCGATTAGTTCTGATTAGAGCTCGAAGTGTGACGTTTAACATGTGTAAGTTGAGCACCTGCCTAAGTGTTCGGTCTAAATATGAAGTAACTCTCAACAACTTTCATCCTCACTTGTCTACTCTTCCTAAGAAACTGGTGTTAAATCATCGGGCCTGTTATTCAATGGTTTTGTGACGATTTTATTTGTAGTAGTTACGTCATCCGGTGAAGCATTCAAACGGTTTGTACTTGGTTATTGATAAAAAAAGAAATATTTTAACTCTTCATTCGTCCGGGGTTCACCAGAACAAAAAATTCCAATGTTTTGGGATGCAGTCTTTTTATCCATTTCTATCGGTCACTTAGATAAAACATTGCAATGAGGATACAATGGCAAAGGGGAGAAAACAATAAAATCGAACTCAAAGTTTACTGAATGGTCTGTAAAGGAAGGAGTTAGTGGCAATTAGATGATCTACTTTGAGTCGTTAGTTTTGTGTTGGAATTAGCATTCCCTTTAAAAACCAGGGTCACTATTTCGCAGTTCAATTGCGCAAAAAATTACAAACCATTTGGCTAGGTCGACATGGTAGTTAAGAAAATAGCTGGTAATTGATGAAGCCATGCAGCGTTTCGGTGTTCAGCCTAGTAGAGGTTAACAGTGGTTTGGCTACTGGCTCTGCCACTCGCTGTGCAAAAATCGATCCATTTTGCCGACACATGTCNTTTGCCGACACATGTCATTGCAGCTGCCAGTGAACTCGCAAGTAGAGTGAAACATTCAGATCGATAAAACCTTTACAGTAGTTATGATCTTTCAAACCTCTATCGTACCACACCACACAGGACTGGGACTCTTAAACCCGGTTTTAATTTATTGCGTGCTTGTTTGAATATGTGCAGCTCTGTTTCACCGACATAACAGTTTCGACTTTGTTCCCCTTCTTGTGATGATGTTCATTTAAGTTCCCTGGATCGACATTTTACGGAGATTTTTTATTAGGTCCATTTCTTTCTACAATGTATGCAAGTCGTATGCAACTCATAGACGAGAGACGTAGCAGTTTTCCTGTTTGTAGGCTATTGGAGCAAAACTGTATATGAATAATTTCTATATATGATAACTTACTAGCTTCAGTCGAATATCATTAGTTGCAAAAACTTTCTAAATTAATGGTAAAGAGAAACATTACCATTCGATAATCAAATACCAGTTTCATCTGAAGAAGTCATCAGATTATTGAAAATGCTATTGCAATGAGATGCTTTGACCTCGTCTGACTTAGTAGGTCAAGCGAGAAAATAGTTTTTTTTCACTGCAAAATACAACTGAGCGATTATGTGTAGTGCTGCTGCTGCTGCTCACAAACGACCTAGGTACAAGTCACTTATTTTCCATATATTTGACGAGGATTTCTAAAACAACTGCAGTCCTGTAAGAGCTATCCTGAATTTTCTAGAATGATCAGCACAGACGGAATTCGGAGGGCTATCTTTGTTCACTAGTGCAGTTGAGAAATCATAAAATTCGTCACAATTGAATAGGCTGTGTATTTACAATAATAGTGAAAATTCGGTGCATGCTAGTGATGGAGGATTTGAGTTGATTTTATCGTATGGTGAATTTTGTAATGTACAAAGCACGTGAAGCTCAAACTGAACTGCGCGGTAGTCAGTTGGGTAGTATGTTTGCGTTCTGCCTATGAGGTCCCTGCTTCGATCCTCATTTGGTCGATGGATTTGCACTGCTGCTGAGACCTAACCGGGTTGAAACAGCCGTCAAGTGTGTCCTAGCATTGTAGTTGAAGCTTCGCAACAAGATGAACTACTAACAGCGGTCACAGTCTGTCAAAGCTAGGCTGATCGTGAAAACCAGAGATGCCACACACATTTGGTATCGTCATAAATTTATGTTTCATTGTGCGCCCGCATCAGCTGGTTTTGGTTTGCAGGAATTAATTGTTATTAGCAGGCGCCTAAGTTATGCCGATTTACTTACCACTTCAATTCTTCATTTTGCCCTTTGGACGGTAGATCATTTGGTTACCCGTTCACCTACCCGGGATTATCATGTTTTGTAGTTTTAACTCAGAATTTGGTATCCATTTATTTCTTAAGGTCAAATTCGTCCCCGTTCCGTATACACTCGATCCACAGCAAAGCACTTCGTCAGAATTAGCTGCGTTACAGCCTATCTGTCATTATCGGTTCAGGTACCGGGCTCACATTCAGCCTTGCAGTGCATGCAGTGCTGCGCGCGCTCAGTCAATCAGCCAAAGCTGAACTTCTTGCTTCCGTCGTTTGCTCACTACAATGGTTGATTATACTCATCTCTTCTTTAATGCATGCCCACATTGAAGGGAGGGGGCAGCCAGTGATTTCGATGCAGAGATAGTAAAATTCAAACATAGAGCTTTGTGGTCGATCGAGGTGCGCTCAAACTGACCGCGTACAGAAGAATTCAGTTTACCTTACTAGATGCGGAGTACGGAGTGTGTTCTTAAAAAAACAGTGTGCAAAGCGTGATAGTTATGCTGTTCAGTTAAGAGCTCTATAGTTTAAAAAACGTTACAAAACTGACTTCAAATCATATATTCAGGCACTCGCAGGAATTTTTCGCGCGAACCTGAAAGCCTTCGCCCTCGGCCGTCATTCTGACCGATGGATATCACCAGTTTGAAGAATCTCATAACGAGAATGGGCATAGTAAGAACAAAGGAGAAGAGGAACGAAAACAATGATTGGGGCAGACTAAAGTGAATCAGTTCTTCTGATAAATATGTACAAAATTGGTGACTACTTCCGCGGCATGGACAGGCTACAGACCAAGGCGTCAAAATTAAAGCAAACATCATACGGTATAAAGTAAACCCGATTCCCCCCCCGCTGTTTTTTCAGTATATCTCTACCGCACACACACACACACATGCATACACAATTTCCACTTACTGAGCAGGGATACCCGAGGGCCAAGGTCATCGAGATTTCGGACAGTCGTTATTGCTCGCTCCTGTTCCATACTTTTTTCTGATTGCGCTTCGTCCGTTTTCCCTCCACAAACGGTAACAGGATTTGGGTCGGTTTCGCGAATCCATTGATCATCTGTTTCCCTTCCCGAGACGCCTATTTGATGTACGGATGCCGAACCGGAGAGCAATATGTACATACTGCATACATGAAAACAATTTCAAACAGGAGAGGGTTTGTGAGTCAGACAGATAGTTGTCGGACAGCCAATCAAAAAAGCGCCTTTTTTGTGCTGGGCTACTATTTCAACATCAACTATTTGTTTTGAAGCCAACTGATTTATTCTCGTCAAAGCAGTGTAACAGGCTGTTGCAAACACTGTTTTCCTGCCAGGAATTTGAATGGGGGAAAACAGAAACATGGGTTCGCACAATTACCCTGTGCTCATTTCGCAGCATTTGTATACGTACGTACTGGAGTCAAAATGATTTATATAGCCAGCGAAATGAAAACAATACCTTTTTGTGTGACCTAAGTGTTGATTTTTTGTTTTTAAGTAACACACTGATGCTCTCTTTCTCTCTCCCTCTCTGTGTGGATTAGCCTTTACACTTCCACGTTCGATAACGAATACGGCAAAGTGGAACAGTCAGAATGGCATCTTTGAGTATACCGGACATAACCTGGGCCCCCAGCGTGTTGTCC